GGGGCAGGGGGGGAAAAGGGGAAACCCTTTAAAAAAAAAAAAAAAAAAAAAAAAAAAAAAAAAAAAATCTGTTAGGGAAGAATAATACTGGGAGGCCTGGAATTGAGTAGTTTTCTGGAAGATGGAAAGCAGATGGTATTGCAGAAAGTAAGGAAGCCTCTGTCTAAAATATGCTCAGAAATGGAGCCCAGTTCTAAGATGTGGCAATAGGATGGGGTCATTGGACAAGTCCAGTGTGACTGATGGAAGAGCCACTGGGCCCCAGTGCTGAATAGGAGCCGTGGGATAGGTGCTTAGACATCCTTCATCAGGTGTTCCTGTAACACAGGCACCTGAGGCCTTGGAATTCCAGGTACCTTGATGACTTCAGAACATTTGGATAGGATTCTAAGGGAACCTTGACCAGTGCTGTGGTTCCAAAGCCATAGCAAGCTCCAGGCTTCTCTGTCACACTCATGAGTTTCAAGATGTACTTGTAAAGTCTTCTTGTGTTATATATACAGGCAGCAGAACTAAAGTCCCTCAAGTCCCAGGTAGCAGGGACTCACACTAGCAATGGTTTTTTAAGAATGAATAGTGCTCCACCAAGGCGTTTTGACTTCTGTACTTAAGAACACTGTGCAGTGTGTTTAAATGGATACATCGGATTAATGGACTGGTTCTAAGTGACAAAACTACTATTGCTCATCTGCCCCCCCCCAGGATTAGTTTAATAATTTAGTCAGGTTTTATATATATTTACATATATTTGTTTAAAGTTATAATACTGTGAAAGACCTATAGTAGGTAAATGGAAACTGAATCAGGATAAATATTTAAAAATTGAACCTGTCAAATGTAGCAATTGGGAATGTTAGTGCTGTCTTATGTTTGTTTGTTTATTTATATCTACTTCTACTATGATGCAGTAACTTGTTCCTTGTATCACAAACAATGGATTTTAAGGACCTCCATTTCTGCATTCATAAAAGGTATATTTCCACAATATAAACTGTCTAAGAAAAAGAGGAAATGTATCACTTTGAGCACCAGGCTTCACCTTTTTTGTCCAGTCCTGCATCCTCTTTAACCTTGCAGTATAAAAGCCTACAGTTTAATTTTAGTGCAGCATTTATCTGGTTCTGATCAGTATTTTTAGTTGTTTGGATGTCTACCAGGAAGACATCATCTATGAGTGTGTTATAGCCTGCACATCTGGTGTAGTGCCCTACACAAAGTCTTGTTAAAAGCCTGGTGAGTTGAATTGACTTCAGCTAAACGAGATGGAATTGAATTGCCTATTCACTGCTTTCAGAGATCCACCTCTGTTATTTTGAACAGGGACCCGAGGGTTGTCAGTGCAGAACTTCCAGCTTGCGTGTCACACATAGTTAATAAAAACATCATGCTATGCAGATGCAGCAAGGATCTTCACTGTGCTTGTTGCCACTTCTTAGGACCCTGAACTGTGAAGTCATGGGAGAGTATTTACTGAAAGCTCTGCTTTTTTGTTTTGTTTTGTTTCCATATCTGATATCTTACCCCTTAGCAGTTCTTATTTCCTACTGGAATCTTTTAGCTTGCTGCTAGTTTATCCTTTTCATATGGTAAACATAGTTGTTATGATTTAAAGGTGCTAAGACTTAGTGGAACCTTTTTTTAAAATTATTTTTATTTTATGTGTCTTGAGTGTTTTGCAAGCATGAATGTAAATATTCATGTGTCATGCAATGCCCAAGGAAGCCAGAAGAGGGCATAGGATCCCCTGGAACTGAAGTTGGGTTCTAGGAACAGAAGTCCTCTGCAAGAGCAGCCAGTGCTCTTAACCACTGAGCCATTTCTCCAGCCCCCTATTTTTTTAAGATTTATTTTTATTTTTATTTATGTGTATATATGTATGTCTGTATGAATGTATATCATGTGTATGGCTGTCCATGGAGGCCAGAAGAGGGTGTAAGATTCCCTAGAGCTGGAGTTACTGGTTGTTGTAAGCCATCTGATGTGGGTGCTAGGAACCAACTGTTCCTCTGGAAGAGCAGTAAATGCTTTTAACCACTGAGCCATCTCTCCAGCCTGAGTGGAACTGTTTTTAGAGACACAAAGTTCTCATTCATGTGGTCCAGACTCCTTGTATGTCCAGTTATGTTTTACTGTGTACTGGTCATAATGCTTGGAGCATTATGCTTGGAGCTGATAGGAAGGCACCTGGCTTCAGAGAGGATTCACATTTATTTCTGCCAGTTGTTTGTGATCAGCAAATGCTTCCAAATTCCTGAAGTATAGCAATCTCTGGGATTCAGAAACAAGAAATTGGAATTCCTAATAAGTCATAAATCATAACTTATTCTATATTTTTAAACTTTAGTTATATATATATTTTTTAATTTTTTATGTGTATGAGTATATTGCCTGAATGTACATACAGGTGCACCGAGTGCACATTAAGTGCCTCAGAGGTCAGAGGAGGGCATCAGATTCCCCTGGAACTGGAGTTACGAATGGTTGTTAGCTGCCATGTGGGTGCGGGGAATCGAACCTAGGTCCTCTGCAAGAGCAGTCAGTGCTCTTAACCATTAAGCCATCTCTCCAGCTTCAAGTTACATATTCTTAAGAAATAATAATAGTGACCATATAAATCAACAGAAGACGAATTTCACGTTAAAGTTTTAAGATTATTTCCCAGACATTCATATCTTCTCTGTGTCTTTTTTTCTTTTTTCTTTATATGTATGTGTGTGTCTGTATGTGTATACAAGTCTATGTATGTTTGGGTGCCCACAGAGACTAGAAGAGGGCATCAGATCTCCTGGAGCTTGAATTACAGGTGGTTATGAGCCTTCTGATATGGGTGCTAGAAACTGAACTCAGGTTCTCTGGAGGAGCAGGAAGCAGTCTTAACCACTGAGTCTTTTCTCCAGCTTTTATGTTTCTTTTGTCACAATATTTGCAGAGAGGGTTGGAGGTATAGCTTGGTGGTAGAGTGTGTACTTAAATGTACATGACCCTGGGCTCTATCCCTAAAATCATAAAATAAAATAAAACAAAATCAAATTAAACATTTTTAAATCTTTGGAGACTGAGGCAGGAGAGATTACCATGAGTTCAAGGCCAGCCTGGGATACAGAGTGAGACCATGTCTCAACCCCCCCCAAAATTACAGAGAACCATTACCATAGCAAATATTAAGTGCTGGAAGACACTTGGTAAACACTGGGTAGTATTTAAATCCTAGAACACTTACGTCTTTGAACAAGATTTAGCATCACACAGAACCTGTG